ACACAATTTGAAACCTGGCTGTGAAGGCCAGAGGGAAATGGCTATGGAGAGAGAAGAGCATGTTTTCTGTGCCGGCCAGGGTAGGGGTGCAGAGAGCAGTGAGAACCAGAAAGGCTGTGGAGTTCAGAGGTAGCTTTCTGGGCATGAGGAGTGTTTTAAAGGATGATCTTAAACATTCTTTGAATTCTCTTAGAACATTTCTGTGGAATCTGGGTTTCACAATTCTTTCCATAGTATATCTAAGTCTACATTTTACCAGTTCCTCAAAATACTTTGTTGGTCCCCTGTAGAGAAAATGTTCTAGCTTTGTGACCGTGTGGGCAAACAAGCTATTTAACTGCTCTGTGGCTCAGTTTCCCCACTGGTAAAATAGGCATGATCACTGTGTCTACCTCATAAGGTTGTTAAAGGGTTAAACAGAGTGAATGCAGGCACATGCTTAGAACACAGAAGCACTTGTCAAGTGAGTAAAACCAAGTAAAACCACATGTCTACAGAAAAGGTCGCTTCAGTTTAATTATTCAGTTTAGAGTTGCAGCTGAAAAGTGTTACAAATGTATGGAATAGTGTGGATTCTTTACTGTGAAAGCAAATTAAATGTCTTTAGTGTTGGGGAATGCTTAGGTGAATCAGTAGAGAGTCAACAGTGTCAGTGAAATCATCCAAGGTGTGGCTGGCCCGAGGCAGGTGTGATGCAAAGCTCATTGGCTACCAGGGTGCAGGTGTAGGGACATGGTGCTTGGCCACTCAAAGGCACTTTGAGGGAAGGTGATGAAGGTGCTCCTCCGGCCCCACAGAGGGGAAGAAAATGTGGATGTACAGGAAAAGAAAGACAAGGTCAAGGCCTTCAAGACGGCCCTGAAGTCATCCTGCACCCTTCCAGCTCTCCCAGGTGAACGACTCGCTCTTTCCTCTTCAGTTCACTTGGACTCCAGAATTCTTTGAGATCTTTGAATTTTTTTAAAAAAATATTTTATTTTATTCTATTTTATTTTGAGATGCAGGTCTCACTATGCTGTCTAGGCAGGCCTCAAACTCCTGGTGTCCAGATCCTCCTGCCTCAGCCTCCTGAGTAGCTGGGGTTACAGGTGCGAGCCACTTCACCTGGCCCCTTGGAGAGCATCAGATTTTTTTCAGCAGTTTATTCTGATAGTGTCACTGAAACTATGTTGCTCTAAACCACATATCAGTGTTGCTTCATCATTGAGAGTTTTCTATAACCATGATTAGTGGTGGTTCGATTTGCTTTGAAAAGTTTCTGCACTAAAAGTTTTTTGGCTATGTTAGAAACTGGAGGAATTATAAACATGAGTGTTTGCTGAAATCAGAATTGTCATGTGTGGGTGAGTGTGTTTATTAGGTGTGTATATGTGTGCATATATGAGTGTATATTTGTGCCTATGTGTATATGCCTGTGTATATGCGTATGCATGTATATATTTGTGTGTTCATGTATATGATTGCATGTGTGCATATGTGTAGGTATATGTTGATATGTATGTGTGTGTATATATGGACTTGTGTATATGCGTGTACATTTGCATAGATATGTATATATGTGCATATATATGCATGCATTATATGTTTGTGTCTGTGTGTATGCGTGTGAGCATAAACTTTGTCTCATATGTAAGTTCTTCCATCCAACTTCTCTTCAGTGTTGGATCGTCTTATTAAGGGCCTTGGTTAGTCTTATAAATTTTCATGAAAAATCTGTCCACTCAACCTTGCTCATTTGATTAGATTATTTAATTTTTGACAATAGAGAGGGAATATCTGCCCACCAGGTTCTGATCTGAGATGAGAACCCTGAATAATCAGTTGTTTGCCCTCGTTGAGAGGAAGGGCATTTGTGCAGGGTCTTTGGAGGGCATGCAGAACCTCCTTTCTTTGGGATGTGTTGGGCTGAGTCTCTGGAATTTGGAATCTGTCTCACTTCCCAGACACCTGTGAATCTATGCTCTCTGAATTGTGCTTGGTGCTCATGACGGGCCCAGATTGCTCGTAAGGTCTGTAAGGGAAATTCTGTGAGACCGCCCAGGCCTGCATTTGCTTTAGAAATGCTGCCAAGGGTTTTCTACCATGATAATCATTGCCCCTTATGTGAGGTTCACAAGGCAAACTGCTTTCTTGCTCTGTGAGTTAGGAAAAAATTTGCTTTTTTAAAGGAGGTGGATTATTCTACTTTTGCACAGTTAATTTTCTTTTCTTTTTTATTTATTTAAAATTTTTTTGAGACAGAGTCTTACTCTGTTGCCCAGGCTGGAGTGCAGTGTTGCAATCTCAGCTCACTGCAAGCTCCACCTCTGCACAATTAATTTTCTGTGTTTTTGTTTTTGCTTTTTCTGCTAGGGAGCTCAGAGTAAAATTTATGTTTCAGCTTTAGGAACTGGGTGAGACATGAAAGTGTGGCCTTCAGCCTTACCCTTAGACTGGATTTTCTATGCTGATCTGGATCTTCCATGATCTTGCATTTTAATCTTTTATTAACACTTTTTCATATGTGTGCTAGTCAGCTCTATCAAGCCCTCAGGGGAACAAGTCAACAGCAAATGATGAACATTTAAAAACTCTACGATTTTTGCTTATAGGCCAGTGGAGGGCAGGGAAGAAGACACAGAGGTGAGGCTGGGGGCCCACAGCTGGAGAGATGGTGGGTCATAGTGTGGACTCAAGAGCTGGGTACCCGCACCCAGGCACTCAGTGCACACAGAGGCTGAAACCAGCGGTGACTGCTCGGGTCTGGGGTAGGAGCCCCTGCTGTCACTTTGGGTCCTGCCTTTTCACAGCTCCACACACAAACTGGTTGAGTCACCTGGGCACATCGCCTCACCTCTTTGAGCTTCAGTCTTCTTCTCTGCAAAATGGAACTAGTAATAGAGTTAGCTTCATAGAAGATTGTGTGTTTTAAATGAGACCAGTTTTTAGGTGTGGAACAGAGAGGCTGGCATCAAGGGCTAGCCACCACTATTATTATTAGTAGTAGTAAAATCAGAAGGCCTGGAAATTGTGTGCAAATGCAGGGTGGAGAATACTTGAACAGAGCTTGACTTTTGAGCTTATGGTAAGTATTCCTTACACACCAGGTGTGGGAGGCAAAATTCTAATATGGCCTTCAAGATTTCCTACTCTAATCCCCAAGACTTTGAAGATTGGATTCACTGATGCAGGTGTAATTAGGGTTACTGCTATGGTCTGAGTGTGTCCACCAAAATTCATATGTTGAAACTTAATTACCTAAGTGAGAGTATTAAGAGGTGGGGAAATGAAGTCACGAGTATAGAACCCCCATGAATAGGATTCCTGTCCTTATAAAAGAGGCTGAGGGGAGCACTGTAGGCTCGTACCCCTTTGTCTTCTGCCATGTGAGGACACAGCATTCATTCCCCCTGGACGACACAGCAACAAGTGTCATCTCGGAAGCAGACACTAGGCCCTCCTCAGATGCCAAACCTGCTAGTGCCTTGACTTGGACTTCCCAGCCTCCAGAACTGTGAGAAAGGAATTTCTCTTCTTTATGAATCCCCAGTCTCAGGTATTGTGTTGCAGCAGCACAGGTGGACGGAGAAAGTTCCTAATCCTTTGACTTTAAAATAGCAGATTACCCAGCTGGGCTGAGCTTCACCACACACCCTTTACAGCAGAGGATATTCTTGAACTGGTGATGGAAGGGGAAGTCAGAGGGACCCATGGGTGACAGAGCTGCTCTGTCCAGGGAGCTGCTCCTTTCCTGATGGTGATGTGGAGGGGCTCATGGGTCAGGATCTGAGAGCAGCCTTCAGGGGCTGAGACTAGTCCTTGGCTGATAGACATGAGAAAACAGGGACTTCAGTCCTGGAACCACAAGGAACTGAATTTTGCCACAACCTGGATGAGACCATAAGCTGATCTTCCCTGGAGCCTCCACCTACAGTACAGCAGAGCTGACGCCGGTTCCAGCTTGTGAGAGCAAAGGCAGAGAGCCCAGCCAAGCCTGTCAGGACTTCCGAGCTGCTGTGCTGCACGGTGGCAAATGGGTGTTGTTTAAAGCTGTTAAGTGTGTGGCGTTATGCAGCTACAGATGGCTAATACATCGAGCCACTTCCACATGGTACCGTACACCTTCCGGGCACCACCAAAACACCAAAACGCCTGCTGGGCAGGGGGGATGCACCACACAGTGGCTCCCCATCAGCCTCTGGAGCCTATTGGTGGCTGCTCCTTGCCTGTGGGCAGGGGATACAATGGGTGTCCCTTGCTGCTCCAGTGATGCACTGACTGGCGGCTCTTGGGCCAGGGACTCCAGGTCGCAGATGCCACCCAGTGGGAAGAGACATGCCTGGGTGAAAGAGCATCTGGAGCCCTGTTGGTGGCTGCTCCCCACCTGTGGGCAGGGCACACGGGGTGTCCCTTGCCGCTCCAGTGATGCACTGACTGGCGGCTCTTGGGCCAGGGGCTCCAGGTCGCAGTTGCCACCCGGTGGGAAGAGACATACCTGTGCAAAAGAGCATCTGGGGGTCCGTGGGATGCACTGGGAGAAGGACGGCTTCACAAGCGCCTTCTGACTCATCAGCCACTTCTCCCTGGAGGGCAAGATGTGACCCAGAAGGCTGAACAAAGGCAGCCAGCTCCAGGGATAGAAAGTCCTTGTGATCTGTCTTCAGTTCAGCTTTTACTCTGATTGGTGAAGCCCTTCTGGTGAAATGTGTGAGGCTTAAACCCAAGACTGTAAACCTAATAGGAATTCGGTTCGCTTCATGAGTCAAGATAATTGTGGTTTGAAAAATGTTTTCAACATGACATTAATTTCGACCTTTACATAAAGACTGACATAAGTGTGTTTTTAAAATGGATATTCATGCATGACACAGTTTTCATTATCACCTTATCAGATTTCCTGAGTTGCTGCAGCAGTGATAGTTCAGGTGTTTCAAATAAGCAATCACTTACTTTTATGCTCTTGCAGGGACAGGTTATGGTGATTGAATGGGATTTTCTTTTTCTTTTTTTTTCTCCTACAGGAGCCTCAAGAACAAAGGCCATCGGAATGGCCGTTCCCTGGCGTGGAGCCCCACAGGACTCATCAACCGGGGTTGAGGTTGGCTGAAAACAGAGCAAGAGAGGCCCTCGCCCATCTCAGGCCCTCTCCATGCCCTCTTTCTGGTGGGATCCATGAAAGGAACTGGCAGCACATTTCTATTTCTTGGGATTTAAGATCCTTTGTGTGAAATACTTAAAAAACCAGGTTATGGTTTATCCGTAAATTCTGGCTGGATCCCACTGGCTTCCTGACACCTCATGGGCCATTTTTCCTCTCCCAGCCACTTTCCTCACCTCACCCAAGGCATGCTGACAAAGGAGCCCTGGCCAGATGCTGCCACTGCAGAATTTTTAAAAATGGATTAACCAAATAGAGTTTATAAAGTAGAGGTAGAATTCACATAACGTAACACTATTTTAACAATTTTGAAGTGTAGGAAACAGTGACTTTTAGTACATCCACAATGCTATGTGACCATCACTGTCTAACTTCAGAAAGAATCCCCACCCCACTAGCAGTGACATCCTAGTCCCGCCTCTCCTGCCACCAGGCAATCAGGAATCTGCTTTCTGTCTCTGCAGATCAGCCTATTCTGGGCATTTCACAGAACTATATCAAATAGTGTGTGTCTTTTGTGTCTGGCTTCTTTCACCGAGCACAGTGTTTTCAGGTCTGTTGTGTGGCAGCAGGAGGGATCACAGCTTCCTTCCCTTTCAGGGTTCCACAGTGTTCCGCCGTATGGATGGACCACATTACCTTATGGATGGACCACATTTGGCTTCTCCATACGCCCACCAGTGGCTGCTTTCTGGGCATTATGACTAACACTGATGTGAGCATTTGTGTACGTTTTTCTTTGACTCCCTGCAGAATTTTGGTGTGGGCTGATTCTCGGGTTTCACTGGACCCGGCCTCCTCTGGTGAGTGCCTGCTAAGACTGTAATTCACTGATTGGCTATCCTGGGATTTGTTTTCCTCAGATGAGACTGGTGTTTTCTGCTGAATACAATGGATTGCTTAAAGGGTCTTGAAGGGGCATGATACTGCAATATGCACCTTCCACGGCCTGGAATCTTCCTGAGTCTTGTCTTGGTTGAGCTGCCTTCCATGTACAGGTGGGGTCTGTCTCTCTCTCTACTATGTTTTTCGAAGGATCCTCTGATGCTATTTCTGGAATTTCCTGCTACTGTCTCTATTTCCCAAAGACCCAACTCTGTTCTCAGATTTATCAAAGCTTTGAGACCAGAGGTATTTGAGGTATGAGATCAACTCTATTAGTGCCCTAGGAATTAAGATGCCAGGCCCGTTTCCTGATAATGCTCTGTTTTAGTAATCACGGCTTGGTGCCACCTTATACTGTATACATCTGATCTTTTGCATGGATGGCATTTGCTTTCAGTAAGATTGGTTTAGGGCTGAGGTGATTGTGAGCTGCATTGCTGGAAGAGTGGCGATTGGGGGAAGATGGCGGTCCCCTGCCCCACCCAAGCTGTGGATACATCATCTCTCGACCACTGCCCCCAGGTCAGTGTAAGCTCTCTCCCTGAGAAGGGCAACCAGGGCTACGAAGAGACAGCAAGTGTGGCACTGGAATCTTAGCAAGGAGCTGTGTGAACGATGCTGAGGAAGCGCATGTGCAGAGCAGAGTTGGTCCGGATTACAGCTGGGACCTCCCGTTGGCTTACAGGGTGGAGGCTGAAGCCCACGCAGATGCCCTCAGTCACTCACAACGGCTTGCTGTTCAGGGCTCCCTGCTTTGTTCCCTGTGCCACGCCCTGCATAATGCCAGTGCCGTGGTGCCCATGGGTTACCAATCTGCAAACATGAGTGACATGGCTCAGCAAAACCTTCTCTTGACGTCCATGGAAAGCGCGGGGCTGCTGAGCGCGACCCAGAGAACCGCAGAGTGTGTGTCTCAAGCTCTCTGGGCACATGAGCCCACTAGGTGGGTTTTTGGGTGCCACTGGCTGCCCTTTTTCATGGCTATTTTTTCTGGGCATTTCTCTTTAAAATGTTGACCAACATGAATTGTTAAATTGTTGAGTTTAGGTGCATAAAATGTATATATAATGGAATTTGTCAGCTTTTCAAGAGGCAGCATAGAGTCTCTGATCCTCCAGTGGCATCCCCACTTCCCTGTGGGGTGTCTGCAGTTCCAGAGAGTCATGGAGCTTGCACTCTTGCTTATTTTAGCAGTTCAAGGCCTTTGACCCCAAATTTTTGCTTGTCTTATCCAACAGAGTCTCATGCACGGTCACTTTTATTTCTCAACACACTTCCCTGCTCATCTGTTGGTTCCTTTAACAGAGCTTCAAGAGATCCTAGAATCAAGATGGTGCCATGATCAGGGAGCAACCAAATAACCTTTGCAAATCTCTCTCTAAATACACACACACACACACGCAAATACATTCATATGTGCATGTGTATGTACACACAGATTGAGTGTCCCTTATCTGAAGTGCTTGGGACCAGGAGTGTTCGGGATTTCCAGTGTTTTCGGATTTTGGAATATGCACATACAGGTAATGAGCTGTCTTAGGGGATGAGACCCACTCACGCCTAAACACAAAACTCACTTATGTTTCAGATATACCTTAAAACACAGCCTGAAGGTAATTTTATATAATGTTTTAAATAATTTCGTGCATGAAACAACATTTTGACTGCAATCTATCACATGAGGTCAGGTGTGGAATTTTCAGTGTCATGTTGACATTAATGAAATTTTGGAATTTGGAGCATTTCAGATTTCAGATTTTCAGATTAGAAGTGATCAATCTGTCTATGTAAGTGTGTTTGTTCATTTACTTTCAGCCCTGTCTGAAGATATTGGAAAGGAGGAGAAGAAAGAGGAAAGCAGAGAAGATCGCCTCGCAGAGGCCAGGCTGCAGCTTGGGCTCCGTGCACCTCTGCCTGCTGACGGGATCCACCTCAGGTCAAGAAGGTGCTGGCTCACCCTTCCCTCAAGATTTTAGAGATCCCAGTGCATGTCCTGGAAATCCTTTAAAATTCAAAGACAACAAGCAAAGCTCTGGCTAATTAAATGTTTTCTGCTTACCGTCATTAACATATTAATGAGACAGGCTAAATGTATTACTCAGTGGTGCAGAAGCTCTTAGGTCTGTGCACCCCTTTTTGAGAGGATTTCTCCATGTGGCATCCGTGTTTACAGTGCACTGGCTTTCTGTTCATAGGGCTTTTACGTGGGGGCAATGGCACGGCAGAAAGCATCCCCAGGGTGAGAAGGGGATGGGGAGGTCCACATTGCAGTTCAGACCCGCTGGACACCTGCCTTTGAGATAGCCACGTCCCTGAGCCTTTCCTTTCAAAGGATGGTGGGTCAGTTTCTAATGTTCCCATTTTGACCTCTCAGACTCAGGGACTGGGGCTAGAGCACAGGTCCTCTCGTTGAGGTCACTGTAGCGCTTCAGAGGCATCAGCATTCTTGCTTTCTTTTGCACATCCTTGGTTTTCAGTTATTATGGGTACACAGCGAGCCACCCCAAACTTAGTACAACAATAGCCATTTTGCTGTGTTCACGGATTCTGTGGGTAAGGAATTTGGAAGGAGCCCAGGGTGTGGTGCGTCAGTTGGGAAGATTCGAGTTGATAGTAGGTTTGCTCACTCCCGTGTCTGTGGCGCACGTGGCCTCTGTGTGGCTGGGCTTCCTTGCAGCATGGCATCCTGAGCCGCCTTCCACGGGGGCTTGCTCAGGGCTCCCAGCACAAGTGTTCCAGCCAACAGGGTGGATTCCACAGCGCCTTTTCTGGCCCAGTCTCTGCCACACTGAATCATCTATACCTGGCGAGGTCCTGACTTCCTTTCTGCCAGACCCTTCTCTGGTCCTCAAGGTCCCTTACTGTTTTTGCCCCTGGTTACAACCTCCTGTGTACCTGTCCTGGAGTGTTGTGGTTAGGAGTGTGGTCTCGGGCGCAGACTGAAATACACTGATGTGTGCAGTAGGAACCTCGGCTGCTGCCCTATGTTCATGGCAAGCACTTCAGAGGCGAGTCCTCCATAAAGGGCCTTGACTTTTCTTTCCCAGACTAAAGTGCAGGTTCCTTCAGGGAAGCTCTGTCTTGGTCATCTCTGCCTGGCATTTCCTGCAGGACTTGGCAAGTACTGTGTTCCCTCTGCTTGGGCGGTCTGCGCTGGGTCTGTCTCCTGTTCTGTAAGTCTCACAAATTCACCCTCTCAGAGCAGCCGTCTCTGCCTGTCCCCTGCTAGGAGCTGTGGTGACCCCCACTCATCTTGTTTCCTTTTGTTCATGACACTAGCTCTAATGAAAATGTTTCATCCCTTGTTTGTTTCTGTTAGACCAGGATAGGAACCCCACCAGAGCCAGATCCGGGCCTGTCTCCTTCCCTGCTATTCAGTGCCTACAAGAGGGTCTGGGTCAAAAATGAATGGAGAGGAGGAAGCGAGGGATAAAAAGATCAACTTCAGGAAGATTTCAGAAACACGGTGCTGAGAATAGTAGGGTCATGTACCAGGGTGGGATTTACTTCCTTTTTATACACTTAAAAAATCTCAAAGACATCCATTCAGCTTTCAGTTTAGGTGAAATCTATTTGTAATAAAAATAAAATGATATTTCAACAACTTAATTTTGAGTAAAAATATTTTCTGGAGGGCAGGGGGCTCTAAATACAAAGAAGCAGAGAAGCGCGTCACCTCTCCCCAGTGGGACTCATGGCTCTCAATGGAGCCACCTGGAGCCCAGGCACTTTGCGGTTTGTTCCTGGGTCGCCTCCACCTCCGTCCCTCAGTTATGGGGCTGTGATGGTCCACAGCAAGCCCCCATTCTTGCTGCTCCACTGGTGTGATTTTCTTGGGACCGAAATGGGGAGAGGACAGGATTGTGTGTTTTGCGAAAGTACAGCGTTGGACGTTCTATTGGTGTTCCTCTGTGCTTCCATGACTTGAGGGCAACCATCTAGCAGTTTACAGGGGTTCTGAATAAATTCCAGGGACCTGGAAATTATTGGATTTTTTTTTTTTTTTTTTTTTTTGAGACGGAGTCTCGCTCTGTCGCCCGGGCTGGAGTGCAGTGGCCGGATCTCAGCTCACTGCAAGCTCCGCCTCCCGGGTTTACGCCATTCTCCTGCCTCAGCCTCCCGAGTAGCTGGGACCACAGGCGCCCGCCACCTCGCCCAGCTAGTTTTTTGTATTTTTTAGTAGAGACGGGGTTTCACCGTGTTCGCCAGGACGGTCTCGATCTCCTGACCTCGTGATCCGCCCGTCTCGGCCTCCCAAAGTGCTGGGATTACAGGCTTGAGCCACCGCGCCCGGCCTGGATTTATTTTATTTTAAGCAGAAACATTTTATGTTTAGTTTGGTAACGGCATGCTCCACTTAGTGTGGTCATGCCTAGCTCTCTTGTTTTGTGTCCACTTTGGAGTCTGGCTCTGGGCAAGCACTCAAATGCTCATAGGAATCCCACGGCTCAGGGCATCCTCTGAACCCAAGGGCCTCTAAAGGGGGAACAGCAACGTGGGAACGTGGGTGGGGACAGCGAGTGAGGGGCCGGGTGCAGGGTGACGGCAGGTGTAGGTTCTGCACGATGCACACCGCACTGCATGGGGGCACTGTGCGTTCCCCAGCAGAGCACAATGATGCCGCAGAGTGTGAAGTCACAGGTCTCCGCACTTAGCGGGGAGTGGAGGTGCTTGGGTTTGAGAACCGGGGGGAGCAGGCAGCTCGGGGCCAGCAGATCGGCCCCTCTGCACTTGGGGAGCTTTTGGAGGTCTGCTGGGTGAGGGCGTGGTGGTCACTGGTGGGTTCACGTGATTCCCCGTCATTCTGTCTCTGTGGCCCCGCCCTCTCTGACTGTGCCGTCAGTGGTCAGTGTGCCTCCGTGCCCTCTGCGGTTGAATGTTAGTCATGATCATAGGACTTTAATGATCTTATTGAGTACCCAGTGCCGGCCTCAATTTTTACTTGGAGAATGTGGGATTTACATGACAAAATGTGACTCATGCACGCATGCTGACTGCCTGAATTAGGGGTTCTTGGGCTTAGCTGCTGGTTGGAGTCACCCGGGAGCTTCAGGAAACTCCAAGGCCAGGCCCTCCCTCCCAGAGGTGGGGCTGAACGGACCTGGGGAGCAACCTGGGCTCTGGGGCTCAGGAGCTGCCGGAGGCTGAGGGGAGCCAGCAGGGCACCTGTGGGGTTCTCTGGGTGGTCCAGCGGAAGCCAATGCTGGGCTCTGGAGAGGGGAGTGAGCAGCAGTGCGGAGTTCAAACGCTTGTCACAGACCAGGCTGCTCAGGGCGGCATGACCTTTTGGAAGAGTATGTGGGTGAGAAATTGGATGATTTATCTAAAATAGATGCCAGCATGGTGTGAGTGGGTGACTTTGTTTAGATGTAACTGTGCATAGATTACGCTGTTTGGATGTGTTTAATTATGGCATGTGATGGCGCCACTTTACCAATCATTTGTATTAAATGTCCTCAAGCCTAGTTTGAGACTTTAGGTCAAGTTAAAACTGTTTTATCTGTCAGCACCTGGGAGACTCGGGAGGGACTGTCACTGCAGGACCAGTCCTAACTGTCCCTATCATGTGGATCACAGGATGTCAAGCTGTTCTGCAGAAGTAGCAGAGCCGAAGCTGCAGTCATATGACCTGGGCATGTGGAGAGCAGGAAACCGTCACCTCAGTAACACTTAGAACCAACGTTTCCTCCCTGAGGAATCAAAAAGCCTGGGCATCACTGGAAGCTGAACACGGGAACCCTTTCAGAAACGAGCGGTCTGTTATCCAGGAAGAGCCAGTGCTGAAGTCCACCATTCCGCGCCTTACCGTAAATAACCACGTTTAAAGCTGTCTCATCAAAATCTGCCCCGCCAGCGCGTCTGCATACCAACCTGCCCTCCCCAGCCCATTAGAGTCTCACCCAACCTAATACTGGGGATTCAGATCTGAGCCCTGCCTCCTGTCTCCTTGCTGGTTGGCCTTGCAATAAAGCCTTTTCTTTTCTCAAAAGTAGGAGCTATAATATTGGCTTCCATGTGCAGTGAACCCACTGCATGACTCAGAGGATGTGTGGGCACATGGCGGGATGGTGTGGGGCCAGGCAGGGGCATCGCAGATCCAAGGACTGGCAGTTTCCTTTAATGCGGGGTCACCGTGAGCAGTTGTGGGTGATGCAAGGAAGAGCTCTGAAAACCACCAGGTCAGTGTGGCATTGGGCACCTTGGCTGTCAGGGATGGTCTGACATGACCCCGCCCTGGTCCTGGGCTGAGATCACTGTCCTTGCAGTGTCCTGTGCTCTGCTCCATCTTGGCACTTTTTTTGTGTGTGATGAGGAATGAGCCCAAATGTCCATTATTATTTTCCTACTTCTGGCCACCCTTAGGAGAAGCTCCAGGCCACCCACATTCTGCCTCTGCTTCCAGGCCTCCATCGTGGATGCAGCTCAGTTCCCGTGGATTCTCCAGTGCCCCCCTGCAATGCCCCTGCATCTGCCCACAGTGTCATATTCACCTGCTGGAGGAGGGGACCGAGGGGATGAGGCCCAGGGGGGTGACGTGTCCATGCTCCTGCTTTTCAGGAGGCATGGCTGGGGTACTGGCAACGCAGCCTCCCTGCTGCTCCATGTCTCCATGTCCCTCCCAAGCCACTAGGCCGTACATGTGGGTGGAACAGGTTGGTGACCACACGGCGCTCAGCACGGGGCCACGCAGGTTCCGACGACCTTCAGTCAGTCTCAATCCATTTCTCCTCAGCCCCCTCCCTGGGCAGAGGGAACGAAAGCATTGAAATCACTGCCACTTTTAGCCACTTTAAGTTGGAGGGAACTTGTTTTCCCTTGGAGGCACTGGGTAACTTCCCACCCTGGGGAGAGTGTGGGTAATGACTGCGCTAAAGAACATGTGACCTTCCTAGGAAACAAGGCAAGAGCCGGGAGGGGCTCTGTGGGGTCTGTGGGACTTCAGGGGCTGAGGAAAGATCTTGAAACTGGAAAGGTGTCTGGTGAGCACGAGAGCTTCTCAGGGAGTCTGGGCCATTCATCCTGACAACAGAGGCAGGTGGAGAAGGGAAGGTGCCTGCCCACTTTGCCGGGTTCCTCTGGTGGCCCAACGTAGGCTTCCCTCAGACAGGAGCCTCCGCTGAGCAGGCCCAGGGGGCGAGGCTGTCAGTGTGAAACAGGGGATGGCCGGAGGTGCAGGCGGATCGTGGGCAAGCTGTGAACCTCAGTCTGCAGGGACTTTGCATTTCCTTGCTTTTCATAAATCACCCTCATTCGCTTTTACACCTGGCCTCCCCTCTGTGGAAAATCCCACTTCCGGTTTGTAAGGAGAGTTCTGATTCCCAGCCGCTTCCTCCCCCCCTCACCAGGGTTATTTCAAAGACTCAGGCAAGGCTGAGGCACAGAAAAGCCCTCTGGCCACAGGTGGTCCCCACTGGGTTGGGCCACCTGGTGTCCCTTTGTGCTGTGCTTTGAGGATACCAAGAATCTCATGGAATCACTTCCCAGGACAAGTGACCCAGGAGAGCCTGAGGTCTCTCAGCTTTGAGGTCTGCAGCCTCCCAACTCCTTCAGGCCCACCAGGTCGTCTGTCTAGTCCGCCGGAAGCCCCCACGTTCTGTACCTGCTGAACTTTCTGCCTCTTCCCTCTTCTCTTGGTTTGGGATTTTGGGAAGCAAGAGCCAAGAGCTGTCCATGGTGACGCTGGCTCTCTGCCCTGCCGTGTGCTCCCTCCTGGAGGCACCAGGAGAACCACCTGCCTGAGTGGAGGAAGGAGAAGGAGAGGAGGACCCAGGAGAGAGCATCACGAGGCATCAACTGGGAGCACGTGGAGGCCCAAAGAAGGCGACTTGTATCCTTCCCACTGAGAAGTGTTTTGGGAACATGGTGTGGTCTAGATAGGAGTTAAACCATCACTGGGCAGAGACAGGCAGGACTCTGGGTCTTGGGTGGACTGAACTGGGGCTGAGGAGCTCGAGTCAAGCAGGGTGTCAGCTGGTCTCAGTGCACACGGCCAAGGGGCCCAGGCTCCCCTCTGCCAGGGTGAAGGTGGCAGGGGTGAATCAGAGAACCCGATCACTTTTGGGGACAGTTAATCTGGACACAAAGAGGCAATAATCTTCCTGTGTGTGAGGTGCTCAGCAGCCAGCCTGGACTCCACTACGAAGACAGGAAGAGGCAGGCCCTAGGCTCGAGCCCCCCACGCCTCTTCTTCCTCCCTCCCAGGGCTGAACGTCTAAACTCTATGCCTCTTGCTGTCAGCCCTTCCCTGGTTTTCACCAGCAACCCCTGGTTTGTTCTCAGTCGTTATCATATTACCTCTGGAGGATTGATTTTAAATGTTAAGAAAGTGTCACAGATACAACATGAGTGTCTTGAGTTTCTGGGGAACTGTAACCTGAAGCTCCCAGGGACGCAGGTGCCTTTCAGTCTGATTGTGATTACTGACCACCACACCATCCACGTCTTTTTGGAAAACAGCCCTATTTATGAGTGGGAGTCATGTTGCTCTTTGGTTTATGCAGCATGTGTTGACCTGCAGTCTCCCTGCAATCATTCCCAGCCCACAGGGCACAGCCACCATGGCTCCACCAACCGGGGCAACTGCACAGACTGCAAAGAGACAGGGACGGACCCTGTGGCCTCTGATGTCCAGGCAA